ACCATATCTCTACAAAAAGTATAAAATAAATAAATAAAAAAGGAAACAAGCCTCACACTGCTACAGGGAAGGGGAAAGAAAAAAACAACAAAGAAAAGAAGGATGGCCAACTGTGTAAGTCTACAGTAAGTCACCTTCAGAGACTGGTGGTACAGCATCTGCATGAGAGAAGGAACTGGAACTGTGATTTGCTGTCTTAACGCAGCTGCCGTTATGGTGACTAGGATTTGTCCCCTTGAATTTATCTTCTCCTCCCCTTGACCTGGCCAATTTTATAACCATTCCTTCCACTCATTAGCTCAGGTATAAGAGGCTAGAGGGGAAAATAGTGTTCTGAAACTCAAAGCCACTATGCTGCTGGTTCATTCCCCAGGAAACACACATGGTGGAAATGCAGCAGGCCAAAACTAGAGATTCCAGGATTATCTGTCGTTTTCAAAGATCTGGGCCCTAAGAAGCTGATGTCAGCCACTGGGTGCACAGCTGCCCCACCTTTGGTTTGAGCGTCAAAGCTCTAACGTTGCAATCCAAAGCTCCTTCCTTCTATCTCTGAGATGACATCTAGAACTTAAGAGTAGCCATTTAAGATACACAGAAGGCTTTGACATGTTGTGAGTACACAATGATGAATTTCAATTGGCTATTCTCTAGATGTATTTTGCATCTTAATACTAAACCAATAACAAGGATAATTTCTCTTCCTATGGAGGTTCCTGGGTTGAGGCTGATTTCCACCAGGCACCAATTACCTAAAGGGCACACCAGACATAAAAGGCCTTAAAAAGACCCCGAGAGTACCACCCAAATATATGGCTTGCCATTTACTTAAACAAAGCAAAACACAGGATCCCAGAGGCCCACTCTCCAACCTACCGAACCACCTTTTCAGCAAAACTTTTCTGCAAAGGGGGCAGATAGTAAACTTTACCAAGGGACAAAATTGAGAACACTACATAGGTACTTTTATAACAAGAGAAAAATCTAACACATTTCCACAATTTCTTTATTGATAAAAATTGAGAATATATTGAGTACAATTTTTTTCTTTTGTAATGAGATCTGCAAACGAGACAAGTGGAATTCTTATTTTTGGGGGAATAACATTTCATGTCATTGGGATTCAAAGTCAGGGTTCCATACCAGCAAATTGACTGCAATGTTTACATGTACAAATAATTCTTGTACAAACAGAAACAGGGAGCTCAGTTACAGTTTGGTGATCGCTGTGGTATTCCTGTGACCAGGGGTGGAGCCCAGGAATCTGCATTTTACATTATGGGCCACGTTTGGGATCCAATGGACAATCCAATCCTTGAAGTCTCTGTCCACCAAAGAGGCCTGTGGTTTTACAATGCGAGAACCCAGCTCTGCCACATACCAGTTGCTTAACCTCTCCAAAAATCAGATGATTCATCCTCACAACAGGGATGGCACTGCACTGCTTGGCCTACCCTGAAAGAGTTGCTGGGATGATTACCTGAGATGATCCAATGAGGTGTTATGAGTATACTATGTCCCAGATACTAAAGACATGCCAATTATGTTGAGTTTTTTGGCTGCAGATGCAGACTGCCTGAGCAGCTCCTGCTCGTCTTCTCCTCACTCAAAATGTGTCCCCTAGCACCTGAAAGGCCAATCCACTTCAACCTAACCAACGGTGATGTGCTAAAGCAAACTCAGTGCACGGCTTCCCCCATAAAATGATAATCCAGATCCCCTGGTTCTGGCCCTCTGCTATCTTCAACCAGGATGCTTGCTATCCACTCTTCATTTCAGTATCTTCAATAATAGGAAACTCTCTTTCTCAGGTGGCACCACTCCAAAGCTGGAGAAGAAAAAGCTCTTCCTTACAGCATCTTAAGGAAAAAGGGTGCTTCAAAGAAGGCAGTATAGAGGTTGAGTATGTAGGCTGGCTGAGTTTGAATCCTGGTTCTGCCACTCACTGTTCACATAACTGCAGGCCTCAATTTCCACATGAACAATGATGATAATAATTCCTACCTCATAGAGCTGTTGTGGGGCTAAATTAGTTGATACGTGTAATCCACTTAGAAATGTGCCAGACACAGCCTGGTTGCTATGTAAGCATTAGCTAATACTGTTATCATCCTAAACCATGGAGAAGCTCTAAGTAATGCCTCAAAGCACCCTGATATGTCTCGGAGACTAACACTGTCACATAGCATCTACTGAGGGCCATATCAAGCCAGTTTTGTCATCATTTACTATTAGATTATCCCATTTTATAGGTAAATAAAACAAGCTACAAAAAGGCAGGTCAAGGTCACAAGGGCAGGCAAACGTATGCTACCTCCTTGTGGCAGGGAGAATTCAAACCCAGGTCTGTGTGGTTCCTAAGCCCACCACCCATCACCATGGAGCCCCCAGACTCGAAACTACTATCAGCAGCAGAACTCAACTGACCATGACTATATGGGAACTCAGGCTCAATTTTCTGCCTGCGAGTTCCTGGTTGGCTTGCATAAACTGGAGTTAATATCATGCTACTTGAACCCAATTAGGCAGTAAGTCAGCCTGGAAAACATCATGCGATGTAGTCCAAAGGTCAAAGGAAAATCTGGCTTCCAAGGCAGCCTCTGGCGGACACCGCTATGAAAGTCTCTGCACAGACACCAGAGTTCAGCTCATGAGGTGCTTAAGCAGCACCTATATCGGCTTTTTCAAAGTCCCAGAGACGCCAGCATCGGAGGACCCGACGCGACGAATTGCCTAGCTACAGAGTCAACAGCCAGAGAAAGGCGGTTTACTTTTTTCAAAAGCAAACCTTCATCCCTCTCTTTCGGCTTAGGATCTCATTACTCTTGTAGCTGCCTCCCCGCAGGCAAAAATAAAAGACGGAAGGAACAGGTGAAGACCAAGGAGGGTTCCCCTAGCCTGCAGGGCTCTGCAACAGCCACCTGAAACACGGAGCGCGACCTACCTTCTGGGAGAGCCCAGCCCGAGAGGGCGTTTCCCCAACGCATCGACAACTCTTCCCTCTCGGGGAAGAGGCTGCTGTCCTTGGCTTCAGTCAGGGCCACTAGAGTCGCGCGCGCGACACCCCTCACCCCCGCCAAAACAACCTCATATTTAATGTTCCCCTCACTCTATCACTTCCGCCGAAAAAGCAAACACCAGAGCGATCGGTGCGTCCTTAAGGCCACATTTAACCACGTCTGAACGCCTGCAGGAGGAACGGCGAAACCCCGGAGAGGAGGGCGGGGGAGGCAGGGAGCGCGCAGGGTGGGGGGGGGGGGGGGGGAGGGGCGAGGGGCGCGTGGGGGGGGGGAGCGCGGGGGGTGGGGGGGGGGGGGCACTTGCACAGAGGATCGTCGTCCTCACGGCGCCGCGGCCGCCGTGACGCTCCTGCACAGCCTAAGGCCGTTGGCTCAGGGCGGAAACCCCCATCGGGGCTCAGAGCATAACTGGGGGTCCCCAAAGCCAGCTCCCCCTGCCGCCTCCGCGCGGGAGGCCGTCGGGGCGATGGCGCAAGACTTCGCTCCCCCCGCCCCCCACAGCGACAACAGCCACAGTGACAAAATGGCAGCCCGGCGCCCGGCAGTCGTGCCACAGGCGCGCAGGGCCCTAGCGGCGGCTCCCACCCCCCAGTAACGCCTCGGCGCCCTTCGGGCTCAGCCCCAGGTGGGCCTAGCCGTTTGAAAAAACAAAAACAAAAAACAAACAAAACATCTGGAGCTCGAAACCAGCCCGGGAAGCCGCGGGGCCCGCCCCGCGCGTACTGCACCCCAGCTGCCCGCCCGCCTGCGCCCCGCGCCGTATGGAGCCCGGAGCCCGCATTCCGAGCCCCGCGCCCCGCGCCGGGGAGGAGGGGCGGGGCGTGCGGCGCGAGCCCCGGGAAACATGGCTGCTCGTCCTATTTCGGCGTCTCGGCATGGCCACCAGCTCCCGGAGCCCAGTTGGGAGAGGTGCCGAAGGTGGGTGTGCGGGGGACTCGGGGGCAGCGCGGCGGGGAGGGGCGCAGGGGACGCGCTCCGGGAGCCATTTGTCTTAAGAACGTTTAAAAAAATACAGTTCCTCCTCCCCCACCCCTTTTGTCCCTCTTTCGCTAGCTCTCTCCCCCTCCACCCCAAATGTGCAGAAAGTGCCCCCTCCTCCGCCACCCGCGCCCCACCCCGCCTCCAGGCAGGGGGCCGGCGTGTGGGCCGCGAGGCTGGGAGGTGAGGGGGCGAAGCGTGAGAAATCGCTCCCAGTTCGGCGCGGTGCGCTCCCCTCCCCAATGCACACACACTCGGGGAAGTTTAAAGAGCCGGTTCGACCCGCTTTCCGAATCGCTCCCGGGGGGCCGGCGGCGTAGGTCGGGTTCGCCAGGCCAGCCGCGCCCCCACACCCACCCGCCGCGACCCCGGCCCAGCGCTCGGCGCCCTTCCCCCTCCGCGCAGGGGGCTTCCGGAAAGTACGCGGGAACACCGCGGCCCCGGCCCCCTCCCCCATCACCACACCCAGCCCCCAAACGCGAGGCGCCGGGTCCCGGCTGGGACTGTAGCGGCCGGAGAGAGGCAAACCGCCGGCAAATTGTGCGCGGAAACTCCGGCCTCCTCCGGCGGCGCCCCCTCCCCTCCTGCGGCCGCCCCCTCCCCGCCCTGCGCGCCATAAGGCACTCGCACGTCTCCAGTCCACAGCTGCGTTAAGGCGGGAGGGGGGAGACAAAAAGGATCTTGTTTTCAAAAGTCTCACTCAGGTTTGGGGGAGGAACTAGGGAAAAGAGGAAGCGAGGCCTGCCTTCGCCAGGATTCGGGTTTAACGGGCTGGAGGGGCCACAGGCCAGTGCACGGAGCTGCCCAAACTCCCAACTCCGCGGAGCCCGGGCTGCTGAGGCTGGGGGCGTCCTCCCGCCAGCGCGTCCCCGGTCCCCGCGAGGGGCCAAGAGGGGAGTCGGTCGGGGTCTCCGCCCCAGGGCCGCCAACTCGCCGAAAACACTCGGGTTCGAAAGCGAGAGGGAGGCAGAAATAAAAGCCAGCGTTCGAGTCACCCACCCTCACCTTCCCCCTCCTCGGGGGTGGGCTTTCGCTCGAGCCTAGCGATTTCCACCCGTGTAAGTTTCCTCCGGCCGTGCTCCCGCCGCTGCCCAATCGATAACGGCGGCCAGCGGGCAAACTCCCATCCTGGAGCTGCGTGTTTGCCATGCCCGCATAAACGTGGACCCAGCCTGTACCCACCACGGGCGCCAGCTCCGGGCAGCTCGCGTCCTGACAAAGTTTCCCGTGCCCATTTATTAAGCAGGCGCCGAATGGCTGCCGATGAGCCCAGCCCTGAGAAAGACGGGCTGGGGGTTCGAGCTGGGGGGCCACCAGGGCCCAAAGGCTGGCATCTCGGGGAGGCCGGAAGGAGCTGGGGAGAGAGGGGACCGGGACGTAGCCTTTGGGCAACTTGCACCAGCGATCGCTGGAGGCTGGGAGGCGCGGGGATTATCTGTGCCTCTGCACGTTCGAAAATCCCTCCCCCTCCTTCTAATTTATCCTCTCTTCGGAAGGAAAGGAAGAAACATCAGCATCTGGCCCGAAGGTGGGGTGGAAAGAGTGAGGGAGAAAGAGGAGGAGAGGAAGGGAGGCAGAGAAAGGGAGGGAGGGAGAGAAAGGGCGCGTTCACGAACACTACAAAGTTACAAATATGGCTCCCCCGTCTCTCGCCTCATCACTGCAAAGAAATGAAGACGCACTTTAAACTCCAGCCATTCCCAACTCCGCTGCAGCCCCCTCCCCACGCGCTCTCCCCGGGGGCCTCGGCCCACATTTATCAGAAACTAAACCGGACTCGCGAAGCCCCAAACTTATTGTGTGTGCGAGCGAGCGAGCGAGAGAAAGGGAGGGGGGAGGCGCGGGAGGGGGGCGGAAGGGGGGGATACATTTATAAAACGTAAAACCCCCTTTTTTTGTTGTTAAATCCGGAGGCAGCCCCTCTCCTCCTCCTCCCTCGTTAATCTTCCCCCAGACGGAGTCACTGGAGCAGCGATCTCCGAGGGTGATTTCGCCTCATTCTCTCCGACCCAAACGCGTGCGCCCGCCGGCCCCCGATGGGTGCACACTCGCACGCACACTCTCGCACCCACACTCGCACACGCGGGAGCACACGCACAGGTAGTCATACACCAAGGGCAGCGGCGGCGGCAGCCGGAACATGCTCGGGTGGCATTGCAACCCCCCAGCCTTGCCATTCGCGTGCAGTCCGACCCCCAAACCCACACCTCCCCGGCGCCCCCCCTCAAAAAAAAGTGCCTCCCCCCAGCGCGCACACACACACACAAAGTAGGAGAATGGACCGACAGAGATATTTTTGGCAAATGCTCACATCAGAGGGCGTCCTGTTCCGCAGCTCTAAATGAATCCGTCTGCCCATCTCCATCTCTCGCGCTCTCTCTCTGCAGAGGCTCCCGCGCCGGCGGAATTCAATCAATAAACCCCGAACCCACGGCCGCGCGTTTTAGGACTTTGAAGGCTCAACCAGCTCCGCTCGGTTCTCGAGCCCCCAGCACCCGCGGCGCACACTAACCTGATCGCCGTGGAGGCGGGATCTGCGGCCTCGCGGACGAGCGGCAGCGGCTAGAGCCAATCGCCGCCGAGGATCTCCGGACAGCAGCCAATGGCAGCGGCGGCGGGGGGGGAAGGGACCAATGGGCGGGCTGCGCAGCCGGCCAGGGAGGCTCGGCCATTTGGTTGTGGTGCCGGAGACGGACCCCTTTAGATTTCGGGGCGGCTGAGGAGCGCGGCGGCTGCTCGGTGGCTGAGTGAGGGGGGTGGGCGGAATGGCGGGGGAAGGGAAGGTGACGGTGCCTCGAGGGCCCAGGCGCCCGGCCTCGCCAGCCCGCCGCCGCCTCAGCGTTCGGCCGGGGGCGGGGCCGCAGGTGCGTTCTTCGAGGGGTAGGGGCGCGGTCGGAGGGGTCGGGTCGGGGTCCCCGCCCGGCCGAGGGCTTCGCGGGGCGGCGCGATGGGGTTGCGGAAGGAGGCGGGAGGCTCGAGGTCCGGGGGTCCGCGGGCTGCCCGGCGGGAGGGCGGATGAAAGGCCTGGAAGGAGGGGAGGGGTCAGGGTGCAGTGCGGGGAGGGGCTCGTTGGGTCCCGGGTCCGGCGGGCAGCGCTGGGGAGCCTGGCTGCACCCGCCACCCTCGCCGCGGCCGCCCTGCCCGCGCGCCCCTTCCCATCCGGCCTCGTCCGGGTCAGGTCGCCGCCATCGCCACCCTCGAATGCATAAGTCAATAAAAGCAAGATGTTTCCACTTTGGGATGACTTACCGCGCGGCCGCGACCCTTGCTACGAAGAGACTTTTCGGTTTGCCGTCATGTAAGGTCAGCTTGGAAGAAGTGATCACCGGGAGACACCCAAGATCTTGTGTAGGCAGTCAATGAATGAAGATTATGGATTAAGATCTGTTGCTGGATGTATAGAATATTAAAAGGTGTAAAAGGAGGGTGCTCATAACTCCTGGTTTTCTGGACCAAACATGATGTATGGGCTTTATAGAACTAGTGAAAGAGAACGGCGCACAGTTTATTCTCATCGTCCACCCGAGTCATTTGGTTCTATTCGGGTTGCCAAGGAGGCTCTAACTAGAGCACTTTCTCCAGGTTTTTCGGCGTGCTTGCCTTGGGTATTTTTGAATCACACTAAGTTTTAAGAGGCCTTAAAGCCCTGATGCCCACTGCGTTACCGACTTGTGGCACCAAGTTTGCTGCCTGTAGCTGTTAGTAAACCCCGAGGATTGTTGTCAACAAGGACAGATACATCCTTATTTTACTTTTCCACACGACTGTACTTTAGTGTCTGTTTCCACATGTCTCCACTCATCCCCACACCCCTCAAGGTAGTTTTCTCTTTCTGGATACATAGTGTTTATTTTTCAGGAACATGAGTTCAAAGGGGAAATAAGTATGTATGTTGCAAAGTTTAAAATAATGTTGCATAATACCCATACAGTTCCATTCTTAGACGCATAAAGTTGAGGAGGAAATAAAAAGTGACAATGTAAATAAAACACATATAGAATGGTTACACTGGGGAAGAAGCTGTAGTAACTTAAATATTAAAACCTGATGGATCGCAAGCCTAAAGCCCTGCAACTAAGGATTTTACTCAGTAAATTCTTTCAGATAAAGTAACAAATGGAATTTGAAATCTGATGTTTACTCTGAGTAGGTGGGAAATGCAACATAAAAGTTAAAAGTCATCGTTTTATTTCATCTGGGTATAAATCATATAATTTATTTAAATTGTTGACTTAGCTGTCACAATCCTTAGATTTTGTTAATCTTATTGAAGCCTGTTTGTATAGTTGGAATTTATCGTTTTTTGAGTTTTATTGGCTTCTTCGTAATACATGAAGAACCCCAAATTACCTATTTATGCCATTGAGTCAGTTGTTATTTCAGGATATGGTATTTAAGGTGGTATTCAAACAGAGCTCTTATCAAAACAGGTAAATATAGTGTGTATGATCTATGTAACATAGGATTCCCTAAGTTTGTGTTCTCTTTGATAGTAAGTGTTCATCTTCAATTTAAAAGTTTAACCACAGTTAAGACTATGCTGCTAGCAATACGATATGAGACAGTGTCTTTCCAGAGGAGTAATCCCTTAAAAACCAACCAATCAAATGCAGAGATATGCCTCATCCAGCTCTGCTAAATAGAAGCAAATAGCTCACTTTATTGTACAAATAGCTCACTCTATTGAAGAGGAAGACTTAGCAGCTCACCCCCTCCCCCATTAAAGAGAAAGTACAGAACAAATTAAAATTAGAACTGAAAAAATCATGACCTGATTACAAAATACATTAAACGTGATAGTTGATTTTAGAAGCATTTTACTTTTATACATTTTGATTACTTTTGTATTAATATTAGAAAATTGAAAGAAGGGTTCACTGTATGTCAGTCATTACAAAAGCTGAAATATCCAAAAGTATATATATGACTAATTAAATACTTTCTGCTTTCCTTACATACTTGAAATAAGAAATTTTCTTTTGCTTTTACAGATAGATTTATTTGTAAGAAAGTTTTTATATGATTTTGCTTTTTTATTTTAAAAAAAAGGCATATAGCTCAGCCAAAATGAGCCATTTGCCCCACACAACATGACCAAGTATTCAAAAAAACACTGCTCTTACAATCTTATTTTACAGAGTTGTTTTTAAAATTACATTTCGTTGTATATTATAGTAGTAAATGAGTGCTCTAAGTGGCACTGCATTTCAGAAAATATGAAAAGAAGTCCCATATCAAGGAATCCTGGCTGAATTTTGAAACAGTGGGAACAGGTGAGCGTTCCTAACTACTGAGTAATTCTACAATAGGAATTAGGTTATGAAAGATGTAGAGTCTCTAACCTCTGGAACTAGGTTTGATTCACACTGAGAAGAATAAATGAGATACCATTCAAAGTTTGACCCCCTGGAGAGATAGATGGCCAAGGAAGGAAAGATCTTCCTGCCTTCCAGAATATCTTCCATCCAGAACCATTCCAAATACATGAGCAGCCTATTTTGTTCTCAAAGATATATGAGCAATGAGTATCCTTGGGCTCTTTTGAAATGTGTAAGAGACTACTGTTTTGCAAATAACCACATCGTTACTATTGCCATTTTATTGGGTTGGTGCAAAAGTAACTGTCATTAAAAAAAAAAAAAAAAAAAGGCAAAAACCGCAATTACTTTTGCACCAGTACCTCATTTGCCCTTGTTTGGCCTCTAAAGATAGAGACCCTTTGATTAGCATCCTTTTTATGAGTCAAGCTAATATACCCACAGCTCAACTTTTTGTTATTCAGCTTTAATCACATACACTGGCAGTCGGCCATAGTACTGTCTTACCTACATCATGGTTCTGCTGCTTGGACCCCAAAGATGATATGGAAAAACTTCAGCTTAATTATCTTATCTTTCTTTTGTATATATAAATAGTTTTTAGGAATGTAGATTGTCCTTTTGAAATCTGTGGTAACAAATGTGAAAGCTACTACATTTTTATTTGAATAGCAAAATAATATTCAAGCCTGGGATCTAAAGAGTATTCCTAATTTTCTTTTGCTTAATGAAGTATTGGATAATTTAGGAAAAAAAACTTTTTAATGATTGAATGGTTACCTTGTCAATGGGTTGGTCATGTAGAAAAAGTACTGTTTAGTGAAAACAGACATGTATGTCACTTTTAAAATGACACTAATAAGCCAGGCATAGTGGTGTGCCCCAGTATGTACAGCTACTTGGGAGGCTGAAGTGAAAGGATCTCTTGAGCCCAGGAGTTCAAGGACAGCTCGGACAACATAGCAAGATCTGTTTCTTTAAAAACAAAAACAAAACAATAAAAATCTTAAAAACAGCTTAAAGATGGCTGGTTTCTTTTGAAAAGGAAAAAAAAATTCCCTGGTGCTGTGGCTCACGCCTGTAATCCCAGCACTTTGGGAGACCCC